TTTTTTTTTTGTAAAACAGGATTGCTTAAGTAGTTTGATGTGATTCCTGAATATATTAGTTGTTTTTATCTTGTTTTTTTCCTCTTTTTTTCAGGACAATGAAGATGTTTCGTTGCTTCTCTCGCCGGGTAATGTAAATCAGGTTTGAAAATTATGGCCATTTTTTTTCTTGAGAATTTTTGTACTGTTTCAGCTATTCTGTCTTAACAGTTTTCAGACTGAGTCTATTGTTTTTTGCCAAAATAAGTACGGTGAAAAAGAGTTTTTTTTTACTTCGTACCTTTTTTTGTCAAAAAAACTTAATTTTTCTTAATTTGCAGGAAAAACTCTGCGAATACGCTGCTGAGGCAGCTGATTTTGCAACACGTGGCAAACTGCCAAGCCTCAGATATGCGCTGAATCATAATGGCAAAGAAGATGTTGCAATGTTTGATTTCACGTCACTTTTCTCTGCGCAGTGTTCGGTGCGTCTTGTTGAACGATACGATCAACGGCTTCTGATGTCAATCGTTGGTGATAGCTTACATGAAGTATGTTTTTTTTAAAATCTTTAATTCGGTTTTTCGCCATTGATGAGAATGGCTTTTTCATTTATTTTAGGTTTCTTACACGTACGGCCTCGTGAAAGTTTTAGCAGGGAAAATTATTATCTCGGGAACTACGGAAGCCAGGAAGCTGAAATTTTATGGGTATGTCCCCACATAGTTTTGCATAAGTGTTCAAGTAGATTCTTTAGTGCGCATGGCGACCTTCCTCCGTTCTTTAAGATTGCTTATGGCCCACTTTGTTATTCCTGCCCTTCCTACACGATCACCCAGCTGGCTTTCTTGGCGCACATTACTTTGGTACTATCGTTTATACCAGTTCAGATCTGTAATTTTTCACTAAAGAGAGAGAGAGAGAGCGGTCCGGCACTGGTAATTTTTTTCTCTACACGCCTTTGGTGCCATCAGCAAATAATAAATAGCAACGCGCACCAGACTAGCCAGTGCGATCGTACGTTTTGTGCAATTCAGCCCATCGAACGATTGCCTATTAGTGATTTTCACTGCTTTGTACTTTTGT